CCGCGCTTCTGCAGATGAGTGAACAGATTGTTAAACATTTCAGTTGCGCTGACCTTTCACCTTACGTTTCCCTCGCCTTCCTTCCCAACGTGATACTTGCATTAACTGAAAATCCAAGTTCGAAGTGTGCGCCCCTGTTATTTGGGCATGCTTCTTTGAACAACAGGGGCGCAAACCAAAGCCATACAACAATAAAAACAACATGTGGGCGTGCGTGTTTGCCACAAGTAGGCAGTTTCTACAATCTGCTTGCATACAGTACCCTCTTCACATCTTTCGGCAAGATGCAACTCTGCATAATAGGTTGGGGCATTGTAGTGGGCCGAGAATGAGCCATTGAATAGCGCCAATGTCTTGAACATATCAAGCTGAACCTGAGCACGACACGCTTCGCCTACACCTACACCTTCCCAATCTGCAAAGACACTGATGATTGCAGTTTCAGCGGCATACCAAAAATGCGAATTCAACGTCTCGGCCGCTCCGTACTCTTCCTTTGAAGCTTTGGAGCTGCAAAAATCATCATGCGTCACTTGAAACACGGACCAGTTTGAAAAGGACATGCTCATAGACATAGACAAAGGGCCGCGTTCCAGATGACATCGTAGAAAATGTACGCCTCGGCTAGCCAGTGGCCAGCTAGTAAGACTTTGGCCCGGCTGAGGTGCTTGAAAGAGAGTGTCCTTTGAGCTTGGTTCCAGACACACGAAAAGGCAGTAATGGCAAGCCCCACCACAGACGTGTACTTCAAGGGGTCCAGGTTCTGGCAAACATCATGATTCTCATCTCTCAAGGTGGCTGCAAGTCTACAATGAACCCCTTGCTCAAGGCGGGCATTGGACCCACCCTAGACTACAGCACCGTGCTTCATGTTGGTCGTTCGTTTCGATGCCTTGTACAGGCACAAGGGGAAGATCGCAAAGAGGCTAATCAACTTGGATCGATGAAACTCAAGAGAAAGGCGTTGAGAGGTTCAAAAAGAAAGAAGGTTCTACGGGCTCAAACCAGTTCATCTTGTTACTAGTAGCTTCTTGTTCCTAGAAGTGATACCCTTGTTACTGGTAGCTAGATATCGTGAATATCTTGATCTGTCTGAGGCTTTGGCCAGAATGGAGGATTCCCGGCGCCGGGCAAAAATGGAGTCTGGGATCAACCCCGATGCACTCTTGATGCAAAAGTCACCGATCATGGTGACGTATCCAACCTCAGTTTGGTCTATCACCGTTTAAGTTTCGATGTGCCGGTCCGGCTGGAGGCTTCCTAGAATTTTGCATTGGTTTGCGGCGCAGGTGCCCTGTGAAGCATGGTGAAGAAGTCTGTAGCTCATCCAAAAGGAGAGAAAGAATGCTTGAGCAATTGAAAATAAACCGGAAAGCTTCGAGGAAAGCAGAAGGAAATCGGGACAAACACATCATTGATCCTTACATAGACATAATATCATATGATGCCTCCCAAATGCACATGCATAAGCCCTATCACAATGTACAGGGGCCAAGTATTCACACATATGCTTACACAACTAGGCCGTGCGAGCAGTGTGTGCTCCAAATACGGCTTCTCAAAAATGATTGATCTCCATGCCCGACATGCCCCATTAAACCTTTCGGGCCAAAGGACGCAGCTAAAGAGCGTGTGGAAGAATAGCACCACGTCAACTGTCCTTGGATGCCAAAATGCAAAGGCTCCCAAACGTGCGTCTATAACATATAGAAATTATAACAATATGACAATATGAATTATCATATACTACATGTATCTACATGTTATATATAGATTATGCAAACTATTATGCAAATATTAAATATATCACGATTTACATACATTCATGAACCACCCCATGGGTAGGCCAAGGAAACGGAACATAAAACAAAGGGCCCCCTGGTGCGGGCGTTTCTTGAGCGCTTTCCATGACAAGCATCTTCTCCGTCTGGGAACCCATCGCTGATCGCCACAGCTCCCTAAAGGTTCTGGCCTAGCTGTGGACAGCGACCGGCTCGGCGTCCCCGAGTGCTTGAGAGCTGCAGGCTCCTCTCGTCTTGGAACGGCCAATTCGAGGTTCGCACACCAGTTTTAGAGCAGCAGTAGCCAATGAGCAAGAATCCTGGGGAAGGAAGAGCTGACTTGACACCACTGACCATGATTGGAGATGAGCACAAGCTAACAGCGAGTCCTCCAGTGCATACGAAGGCGGAGAACAACATGATAAGTAGTCCACCCACGACTGATGCATATTGAAATGCAACGCACACCTCAGGTGATCAACGATTGACACGAAACAATTCCATACAATTCCTGGCCCGTCCATTCCTGGGTAGACTTTGGGGGGGTCCAACGCTTCGGGGTTTCCGAGATTTGATGCTTGAAGTAAGCACAGGACATTCAGAAGGCCGGCGCCAACCATGTTTTTCAAAAGGTTGATCACCTGTCGCTCACACGGTCATCGCTTCTGTCAGGGCTACGTCATGAGTTGCGCTGAGTGCCAGACCGTGGCTGTCACCGTAGAACCCACTTCAACCTGCTTTAAAATCCACAACGGGCGGGGCGGTGATCGTTGCATGCGCAAACCACGCAATCAATCTTATGGTGAAGAAGCTGCAAACTTACCAGCCTTCGAGCCATTCTTGCCCAGCAATGGCTTGTCCAACCCCACGGCCATTGCGCTTCTTTCAAGGCATCCACTGTGAGGTGCAGCAGAATTGGCTTTGAGCCCAAGAACAGTCCAGGCATAGCTGCAAAGCAAGTTCGTCAGGTTTGTCCATTCCCTTGAAGTAGACTTGTTCAGTCCGGAGTCAGTCTGGAGACCCTTTTTGCCCCTGCTCGGACTCGGTCGAATTCGGTACAGTATGAGCATCTCGAAAAATAGGAGCACCCCCAAGTCGATTGCCTCGAGGGCAGGAAGAACACTGTCCAAGTGGGTTGGGGGTCCCCAATCCTCCTATTTTTGAGAAAGGTCATGAAATCCAGATTGGGAAGATTGGATCTGCCAAGTGGCTGTTGGATAACGGTCTGGACCCTCATCAGCTTACAAATCAAGAATGCATCAAAAATGCACTGGCTTCAGATCAACAGTCGAACTCTCCTAATGATGAGGATCAAGCTCTCCATCTATCCAAGTCTTCACGAAGATTCTGTACATAGTGAAACACTGGAAGAACTTCCATTTCCCTTCCAGGATTCCTGTCTGGATGGTAGTGCTTCAAAAGAGCACGAAGAAGAGTTCGTCTCTCGCGAACAGGGGTTGCATGCAGAAGACGTTCGATCTCCGTAGGAGGGCCGCGATTGGAACGGAAGCTGCGGCTGTCACGGCGGTCACATCCCTCATTCATGTCATTCTTGGGTTTGAAGATCCTCGCTGCGGAGCGGAATGCTGCAGCTGCCTTCAAAAAGAAATCGTGGAGGGTCTCGTCAACTTTGTCGCCGGCGGACTCGACTTTCTGCACAATTGACAGCAAAGCCTCTCGCAGCTCTGTGCTAGGAAGGCGTAGCGACCCAGCGAGAACTTCTTGCAAAGCCTCAAGGTCCTCTTCACAAATCAGTGCGTGTCTTGGAACATGACCTATACAATTCCTTGCTTCTGCCCATTGCTCTGCCAGCAATGCCTCTGCTGCTGAATGGAGTGCAGTGCCACAGCAGCGGAGTCGGAGCCCCACGAAGTCAGGAAGATAAGTGGCCGTGGCTCCTGAGACTGGCAGCTCGGCAGCAGAAACAAGCTGCACTGCGGCAGTTCTGAGCAAGCGCCCCAGCGCTCGCAGTTGGCCTGTGACTTCAGGGTCAGGTCCATCCCAGCCCATCGATTGGTCACATGTCGCTTTCAATCTCAAAGGACTTGTACAAGGAGCGCGCCATTCCGGCCAATGTGAATTACCTGCCAAGTAGCTGCGGCACACAAACAAAGAAGATAGGCCAGTTCCACCGAAAATAGCTGTAAGGGCGGCCACCTTCAAACGGTAAAGGCTTCGGCCAGAAGCACGTCTGCGAGTGGTTGCCATGCTGACTTGTCACGAATTTTGAGATGGAAAGTCAGGAAAGATGGCCACGCGTGTCTTATATGTCTATCTATATATATATACAGTATATATATTCACATGTTTGGGCATGGGTGTATGTTCATCAGTGATTCTAGCTGTAGAGTAAGTGCATGGCTTCATATCAAATCATCATATCCTTCATGATTACCAAGCTGATCTCTGTTCATCATGTTTACACTTGCACGCTGGACCCTGGGCTTGCAGCTGAACGCTCGAAGGATGTGGAAACATGCGACAGTCCGCGGAACGAATCTACTGAATCGCTCTGAAAGGCTAAAAGTCACAGCATTCCCAAGAAATTGAGGTGTCCAACGACACTTGGAATTCAATCACGTCCCGCCACTCCGCCACACTCTCCTGGGCTCCAAGGCAGTTGGGGAGCACCACAGAAGGTCACAGACACAAGCGCTCCTTTGTCGCCACTGTTGGTCTGGCCTCACTCTTTGCAAGCCTTGGTTGCCGACAGCTTTGCATCCGGGCCACCGTCACTCAACCTCGTTCAAACCGGGGCACAAGGTCGAAAGGCCTCGTTCGAACCTCAGCTGGGAGGCTTGGAGGAAACGCAAAACATGAGAATCTCCCATTCACTTCTGGCCGCTGGGCCAGCAGCTCAGTGTGTTAGCTAGAACAGGGCTGCCGACGGCCAATCCCTCAAAATTATGTCTGCAGTCTGACATTAGGCCTTGATGCCTGCCCGTTTCTTGTGATGCAAGGCACGCCAGACTGGGCCTTTGCACTTGCCGTGTGGGCGGTGGGCCAATGGGCGCCTGAGATACAGAACCCACTGCAAAATCGGATTGGCAAACCGGCAAGACTGAGGCCACTGCAGGGATGGCTAACGGCCTCGAAGGTCGGAGACATTCATTGGATCTTCATCCAAGACTCGAACGGATCAGCCACTTTGCTGGAGTCACGTGGTCAAATCTCTCATCAAGAAGCTGTGATGTCGCACTTCTTTTGAACGGATTGCTTAGCACCATGGCCAGCAGCTAAATGTCGTTTGCATGCCGAAGTGTGGGCCGGTGTCCACTGATCGCCGTCGATTGTGACTGGCAAACACATGTAGGAGTTCACTCGGCCAACTTTGCCTTCGGCATAGAAGTACATGCCAGGCTTGGCATTACCCACATGTACTCAAGGTGCTCTTCCTGGCTTGCCTGCGTTTGCCGTTGGGTGCCATTCCTGGCCTCATGCGATACCAGACAGCTAATCAAGTGCGTCTGGGTGTCTATGCACACCGATCCGACATGTGTTGGATCGAATTGGCACTCACAAGGCTCCAGCTAGTCCTGCATCCAATCTATCAGGCAACTTGAAAACCAAACAAGCACCAATAGAAACAATAAGCTATTAGCAACAAGTGCATCGCTTCTAGTAACAAGTGCCTTACTAG